GAATATTCATGATTTTTTAATATTCCAAATGAAATATATTTCCATACCTGTCTGATATACATAGGTTTCACTGATGTATCATGTTCGGTTTTGATTTGATTACATATGTGCATATTAATTAGGCGGACTTAGTTATTTTCACAACTTTTTCATATCTGCAGATTCGCAAAAATGGCAAAAATGACTTATTTTGTTGGTTTCTGTTTTCAAAACGTTAATATATGGAAACGTTTGCCTGTATTTGTCTCATAAAAGAATTTGACCCGACAAACTGACTCCCACACGGTGTTGAGTGCTCAGGGGTCACAGGCCACTGGCTTCATCGGGCAAGTAGTTCCATTATGTGAATGGGTAAATTAACTATTACAAAATGAGGGGACACATAACATTGTACAATAGGGACACACATTGTTTTTATTTTGCAGAACATACTCTTTTATTGACTTACTTATTGCATAAAACTATAAAACCAAAATGCATTTTGTATTCTATTAATTGGAGTACAAAGAATAATAACAGGTGAATGAAATGCATTAAACACCACAAACACCTGGGGAGCAAGCATTCATAAATTTGAATACATATAGTTGATAAACGACTCCGATGAAACTATAAAACCAAAATGAAATTTGCGTTCTGGCAATTGGAGTACAAAGAATGATAACAGGTGAATAAAATGCTTCAACAGCAACACAAACACCTGAGAAGCTAGGAAGCATCCATAAATTTGAATAATTTAGTTGATCAACGACTCCGCATGTGGACGTTTGTTGGAGCAGAAAGCAGTGGATTCTTAACAACACGAACCCATTTAACAGAATGTCGGAACGTAAATTAAATTTGGCGCGGTTGGAAAATGCATCTTTCTACCCTGCGACTTTAATGGTACGATCCAGTAAATTAAAACAGTAAAATGGCTCTTATTTTAAAATTACTCATTAAATAAAACCCCAAACTTCAGTGATATTAGAAAAAATATATTTTATCTTACTAATAATTAAAAAAGATGTATAAACATTGTGAAAGTGTCGCATTTTACGATGAAAGACACCGATTTAGCGAAGATGACGTTCTTAGTGCACTTGCATCAGGGAATTCAAGGTCAAAAGGTCAATTCAGACGCTGATAAGTTATTGGTCGAGCCTTTTTGTTTCCTTTATTCCAACAAAAATTACGAATCAATCAAAACAAGTTTAATACCAGAAGAAAGCTAGCGATTAGTATTTTCATTAACCGCTTGCCCCAAAGTCGCTTGACTACAGTGAAACGAGTGAGAGCTTGCGAGAGTGGCCAAAGTGTGATTGAAACTCGGTATTTGCTCTTCTCCAACGCAAAAAGAGACGACATTGTGCTGGATAAATGTATTTTTTCCGACGAAAGTACAGAAAATTTGCATATGGTCTTTTTATATTATACTTTATGAAATGTTACCCGAGTGACTTCCGGGCGCCCCAATGCTAGAAAGAAACGCACATTTTAGAAAACTTGCATCAGGGAATTCAAGGTCAAAAGGTCAATTCAGACGCTGATAAGTTATTGGTCGAGCCTTTTTGTTTCCGTTATTCCGACACAAATTACGAATCAATCAAAACAAGTTTAATTCCAGAAGAAAGCTAGCGATTAGCATTTTCATTAACCGCTTGCCCCACAGTCGCTTGTCCACAGTGAAACGAGTGAAAACATGATCATTGCAAATCAGCCAACAACAGGGGTGGTATTCTGAACATTGTTGTAAGTTTTGTGTTATCTTTTGTTGTATCTCCCAGAGATAACACATCGCTAATATTGTTGTAAGTTGGTATTCTGAACATCATTTTATCCCTGTGTTATCTCTTGAAGGACCGCCTCTATCTTATCTTTGACCACTGTTGACACGCCCATGTGTATGGACCCTACCAATCAAAATCTGTTTGATATAAGCATGATAAGTAGGTCAACCAATAGGAATACTTTATGCCATATCTGAGGATGCGCCTAGCGCATACTAATCTCGGGCGTAATTTGAGCGCGCGTCATCATAAATGCGCTGTGCATGTGGCATGTGGATCATGAAGACAAATAACGCTTTCACCATATTTGTTAAGCTAGATGAGAGCATCAAAATCGTCATATCCTAGCATGTAATTTCTTAGAAAGTTCTCATCTGTGATGTTTCCGGTCAACACACAATCTTCTTCTAACTCGTCTATTGGCACACAGTTGGTTCTGGGCAAGAAATATTGCCGCCATTATATCACCACGAAAGATACAACAACCCCCTACCTGTTGTAAGTATTTTTGTAAATACCATGCAAGATAAGATAAGATAAAAGATACAACAATTTTTAGAATACCAATTATCTTGTCTTTCGTGCGCATATGTAAATGAGGATTTAGCGCCATTTTATTACTAATAAGCACAATTACAAGCGCACCAAAGTTTGAACGCAGGCGCGACCAAAGAGGTGAGAGAAAAGAAACAACGAAAGGTACAACAAAAGTTTCAACAATGTTCAGAGTACCAACTTTATCTTATCTCCAAAGATACAACAATATTAGAGATAACACAGGGTTCAGAATACGGCCCCAGGTGGCGCCAAACCAGTTTCTGACCTTCAAACAAGAAAAACTTTAAATAAGAACTGTCAAAATAATCTTTGACCAAACGCCCTCTGTACTTCTATTATTGCAATATCAAGCTAAACCAATACATACTAAATGACTAAATGACTTTAACTGGCAAATACAAAATTACAACTTTCACATGGCTCCTTTAAATTAGATACTAATTTACCAAACAGTACGAGTTTTAAAATGAACTTTTTTCATTACCGAACTATAATGTGCCTTTAAGTTCCTGTTAAGCGGAATACGTACTATAATCATGAAGTGGATTATTTACGTCATCCACTATTATACCATTCCAAATATAATGCATAACTTGTAAAACTTTGTCACTATACTACCATTACAATAAGTATATGCAATTCTATCTAAATACCTTCAAAGTACCTAGCAAGGTATAAAAACATCAATATACATGCGATAATTTTATGAACTTTACAATATCAGTCAAATGATCAATTTATAGCATGGAACTCAAAATTGTCCAAAAATGATTGCCTAAATCATTGCTAACAAACAGTTTCTGCAGAAAGAGTCTGATATTTTAAACGATCCAAAAAAAAAACAACCCATTTTTCAGCCAATTTTGCGGCATTCCCCTGGTGCCATAAATTGAACATGCTTGTTCACTTAACATGTTGTGCGTAGAGAATTCCCAAAAGAATAATTGCCTTTTGTTTCTTACTAGCGACTCTGACTTTAGACTTAACCAATAATACTCGACTAGTCTTGCTTCGGTCCTTTACTACAAATTTGTTACTAGACTTAGTTTCAGACTTTACAAAATAAATTTGTCTTCTTCAAAAATCAAATTGTCCATCAAATTAAGAACATAAAGTTAGTCTTGCTTTTAGACCCTATGAATAAATGTTCTTCTCTGTTCTAGTCTTTTACTCAGACCCTAAATTCAATATAATTAGTCTTTAAGTTCATAAATGTCTAGATTATGACTTTCTGCCATAAACAAAAGCTCCATAAACCTCCAGTTCAAAAGAGGTTACTTAAATTAGTTCCAAATCTCATTATTTAACTGTCAAAATGTAAATTCCCTTGTTTGTTGCTATTAATGTTCTTGGCTCCTTGGCTGGGAATTACACTTGGTCTTCTTGTGGTACTAGTAGAACCAAGTTGTGAATTGGGCGGTCAAGGTAATAGACAGTGGAAAGGTTCGCTTTCCCGGTCTATTCAGTTCTGGATCACCCGCTGCAATCTCCACCTTGCGGACATGACCATCGTCAGGCGCGAACACTTGAGCGATTCTTCCCAGCGGCCACGAGTTTCTAGGAATGTTATCGTTCTTCATTAGCACGATGTCGTCTACTTTCATTTTGTGTTGTGGCTTCGTCGTTTTCTGCTATGACTGTAGTTGGCTCAGGAATTCTTTCCTCCATCGAGACCAGAACTTGTTGGCTAGGTGTTGTACTCTTCTCCATCGTTTCTTGGCGTACACATCTTCTCGTGGAAAGTTACCTGGCGGCGGTAATATCACCCTTGATTTCTGTGTCAACAGGTGATTTGGAGTTAGCGGTTCTAGATGAGTCGGCTCATCAAATGAACCCTCTGCTCGCTTTAATCGTCCTCCAACCCGTAAAACACCCCTTTCATTCACAAAGGGGTCTAGTTTATACAGATGACTGGCCCCTTTCATGCTCCATTTGTAGTCTCTGGTGTGTTTTGTTCCTGGTGTTCTTGAGATGGGTGTATCTTGCAGTCTCTGCATCTCCTCTGGAAAGGAATTTTCTTAAACCCACCTCAAGATGTCATTTTGGGCTTGATTCAAATCTTCCACACACAGTAGTTTGGTGGCAGACTTTGAATGCTGTTTGCATCTCTATCTCAGTTCGGCTTTGAATCTCCCACAGTTTGCTACCGCTCTCTTTGCTTGATACCAGGAAGAAAACCTTTTCAGTCGCTTCAAGTAAAACGTAGTGACTACAGACGTGGCAGACACACCCGATTTCTTCACATCTGGGTCGTCTTCAGGTACATCATAACTTTTCCCCATCACTAGTGTAGTGTGCACTAACCCGTCGATGCCCTGCAGTCTGAGGTAAGTGCAGTTTCCGTATCTTATGGTGCTGGCATCAGAAAAGTGATGAAGTTGTGCAGATTTCACTTCCTTGAATTTCACTGGCTTGTAGCATCTGGGAATCGACACATTTTGAAGACGAATGACATCTTGCCTATATTTTTCACCATCTTATTTTCATCTCGTCTGTCAGTGGATCATCCCAGTCAGCACCTTCTCTGCACAATTCCTGAACAATATGTCTGCCTCTCAATGTCACTGGGGCAATGAGTCCACGAGGGTTGTAGAGTGACAGGACTATTGAAAGCACTCCTCTTCTGGTGCATGGCTTGTCAGCAAATGAGATGCAAAGGTTGAAGAGATCCGATTATATGCACCTGTGCGGCCCAAGGGCTCGTTCAATCGGCAGCTCATCATGCAGTAGATTGAGTTCTTTCACACTCTTGGCTCGATCTTCCATAGGCACTGCCTGCATTACTTTTCTTGAGTTGGAAACAATATTGTGCAGGTGCAGTTTTCCTTCCTTGCAGAGCACTCTAGTCTGTATGACCAAGTCGACTGCCTCTGCTGATTTGGGAACAGAGAGCAAACCATGGACAATATAGAAGTCACTGTGTACGAAGTTTGTTGCAGCTTCTACATACTTGTCTTTGTGGGCAGTTGCAGTTTTCTTTAGCCCATAATTCGCGCACACTGGTGATGAGGCGGCCCCAAACAAGTATACCTTCATTCTATAGTGATGAACGGGTTGCTGGTAATCGCCATCGGACCACCACACATCACACATGAAGGCTAACTTTTCCATCCAGAATCTGCACAAGACACCAGCCAGTGCATTTGTCATTTCCGGTCCTGTCATCAAATGTTCGTTCAACGATTCTCCTTTATACTGAACACTACAGTCAAAGACGACTCTCAGTTTTTTCGGTTGTTGAACGCCGTGATGTGGAATGTACCAAACTTTCGTCTTAAGCCTTGTAGCCTCATCTTGGCTTGGAACAGATTGTTTGGCATCAACGGTTCCTCCATCATGAATGGTACTGGAATTTCGTAGTGCCCATTATCCGCAACATGGATGCCATCTTCCATTACTCTCAGAAACTTTTCATCATGCCGCGGATATGGCCTCTCATTCGTGTCTGCATTAAAACCTGCTTCCATTAGTTTCACGATGTGGCTCGGGGTGATTTCTTCCTTTGACTGTGAGAACACTGCATCGGACTTCTGATGTTTGTTGACATCATGTAATTCAGTGGGCATTTCGCAGCCCAGAATCCTTTGACTAGGTCCTATTGTATCCTCTGCACTGCCTTGATAATTGGAGTCCACTGTCCTGAAAGGTCCGTCTTCGTTGTTGGTGGCAGCTGGCAGTCCGTTGTCAACCCTTTCGTTGCACCTGTCTTGATCAAAGGCAGTGGAGGAGGCCTTTGAGGCCACATCACCGCCTAAGAGAACCAATGTCTCCATGGCTTCTTTCATCAAGCCGGAATGCTCTTCCTCCATCGCTTCCAGCTTGTCCTCGCTGTTGTCCTCTTTTGACAAGGCAGCTGTGACTTCTGCCAGCGTTTCCTGAGCTGCGATGGCCTTCTCGAATGCTTGTTGGGTGCCGTTTCGACCATCTCTAATTATTGATGATTCGTGGTTTTCATCACTTAAAAGCTCCATCAACTTGTTGGCTGTTCTCTGTCACGTTCTTATTGCACCCTTCCAGTTCTTGGTTACAACGCCAAGCTGGGATTGCAACACCTTTTCGGTTGCAACTGCTTCTCGTCTTGATGGTCTTGTTTGACCCTCAGCTGATTGTCCCTTGGCTTTTTCTTCTCCTTCTATCATCTTGTCTGATCGTTGGAGAGAGCTTACTTGAAGAGCCGAGAAGCCGGTTTAACTCAGGAAAAGGTTGGCTGTTTCCCTGAGTTCTTTTCACTCTTCTGAGTAAGAGTTTTCACTGTGACTGCTTGTGAGGCTGAATAATTACACTGACTCAGGTTTTTGTACGGGAGTGTCAGTTTCGTCTCCAATGCGTTTAATCATTCGCTGTACCTTCACTCCGTGAAAACTGTACATGATAAAGCATAACAGTAATGCATAATAAGCATGTGTTCATGAATCTAAGTTTCACAATATTATAGCATTCTACTGAATCAAAGGCATTGTCTGAATTCAGTGTCTAACTCCTTTTCATATTTGCTTGTAAATCTTATATAATAAGTCAAACACTTGACAAATCTCTTTGAACTTTATGTAGAATGTCACAGCTAACAATTAAGTTCACATCATCTTTATCATGTCTAAATCAGATTTAACACGGTTTCAACTCAAAAAGTGACCATATTAAACGAGCTTGAATGCTTGAATGACTTTTTCATAGTCAATAAACACAATAATAAAGTCATAACCTTGACCTGTCATTCACACAAATATGCGCACAGTTATCATCCTATTTCATTCTAGAATGTCTTATTCTGCATCATACGTTTTACTTTACTATTTCTTTCAACCTTAAGCAAAACCAAAACATCAATTATAGATGTAATGACATATTAAATGTTCAATAGATATCTCTGGTAAGGTAATTGTAATATCATATGTGTGAGTACACAGTTTACACATGTTATACATTTGCCATACAAATTACTGCTGCTACTGTGTAAGTTTCATACAATGTAAACATCTTAAAAACTACCTTTCTTACATTCATTTTCATAATGTTCAAATATGTGTTTTGACTAACCTCTGTGCCTCCATAATACTGTAAAAACAGCTCTCAGGAACAAAGGATGCTCCAGAAAACCACAGATTTTCCTCACAAAATAGAAATCATGTTGCACACATGATCATTGCAAATCAGCCAACAACTGGTGGCGCCAAACCAGATTATGACCTTCAAACTAGATAAACTTTAAATAAGAACTGTCAAAGTAATCTTTGACCAAACGCCCTCTGTACTTCTTTTGTTGCAATATCAAGCTAAATCAATAAATAGTAAATAAATGACTTTAACTGGCAAATACAAAATTACAACTTTCACACTCTTTATTAGCTCATAGTTTTTGTTAGATCCTCGAAAGGTATATATATATATATATTATGGGCGACTTTAATATTGATTTATTAAATTGTGCTTCTCATGATAAAACAAATGATTTTTTTAGAAAAAATGCTTTCATTTTATATGCTTCCACTAATTTCGAAACCTACTCGAGTATCTACAAAAACTGCAACACTTATTGATAACATTTTTACAAATACTTTAAATGATAATGTACATTCAGGTTTGTTATACTCCGACTTTTCTGACCATTTTCCAGTGTATTGTATTAATGTTTGTAAAAATAATAAAGATAATCAGTATAGACATCGTTCTGAATTTGCTAGTATGAAGAAAAGAAAAATTACAAAAGACGGGATATCTCGATTGAAGAATGAGTTGAAAAAAATAGATTGGTCAAATATGTATAATGTTGATAATGTGAATTATTGTTATAATGAATTTATATGTAAATTCTCATTATTGTACGATGATTGTTTTCCATTGTTACCCATTTTTTAAAAGAAAAAGAAGTGCAAATTCAAGCAACTATGGATGAGTAAAGGACTTTTGATATCAGTACGAAAGAAACAAAAATTACATCAACAGTTCTTGAAACAACGTAATGATAATAATAGAACTAAGTATACTATATATAAAAATAAATTAACTTCTTTATTACGAACAGCTAAGAAACAGTACTATTATAAAATGTTTGCTAAGTATAAACATGATTGCAAGAAAACATGGTCACAAGTTAATGTATTACTAGGAAAGAGCAAGAAGAATGATTTGCCATGTAATATGTATTTTGAAAATATTAGTTACAATAATAGAAAAGAGATTGTTGAATGTTTCAATTCATACTTTGTTAATGTAGGGAGTAATCTAGCTCGTGGCATTCCTGTTGTAGATACTTCATTTAATGATTATTTAAAAAATCATAATGATTTTACATTGTTTTTAAAACCTTCTACAGTATTTGAAATAATTGAACTTAGTAAAACATTGAAACCATATAATGCAAGTGGCCCAGATGGTATTTCTCCCAGAGTAGTAAAAGAATGTATACACTTTATTGTTGATCCATTATGTGATATATTTAATAAATCAATTTCTTCTGGAGTATTCCCCGACAGTTTAAAATTAGCTAAAATTATACCCATTTATAAGAAAAATGAAAAAGAAAATATTCAAAATTATAGAACAATTGCTCTTTTATCAATTTTTTCAAAATTATTTGAAAAAAATCCTGCAAAAAAGAATTTATGATTTTTTGGTTAAAAACAATTTATTGATAAATGAGCAATTTGGATTTAGGAAGACTTATTCTACATGTTTGGGAGCACTTCATTTAACAGATTATGTAATTAAGAATATGGATAAGGGTAATTATTCATTGGGTGTGTTTATGGATTTGTCAAAAGCGTTCGACACCATTGACCACCACATACTGCTCAAAAAATTAAATTATTATGGTATTCGCGGCCTTCCATTGAAATTAATTGAAAACTATTTGAGTGATAGAAAGCAGTATGTGGTGGTTGACGGTGTCTGTTCGACTAAAAGGGATGTAATATGTGGTGTTCCTCAAGGATCAGTTCTAGGGCCCCTTTTGTTTTTAATTTATATAAATGATATTAAACAATGTTCAAATGTATTAAATTTTACACTCTTTGCAGATGATACTTCCGTTATTACATCACATAGTAGTGTATTTACTTTAGTTGATATTATGAATAATGAATTGATAAAATTGGATAATTGGTTCAAATGTAATAAATTATTTCTCAATTATGATAAAACAAATTATGTAATATTTCATTCTCGAAATCGGAAGATCCCTAGTGATTTATTGCCTATACAAATTGATGTCAATATTAAAAAAGGAAAGAATGTGTTCAGTTTATTGGTATTATAATTGATGAATTACTTAATTGGAAACCTCATATTGATTGCATTTCGTTGAAATTATCTCGAAGTATTGGAGTTTTGTCAAAGCTAAAGCATGTTTTACCATCAAATATTTTGCTTATGTTGTATAATAGTATGATTTTTCCACATGTAAATTATTGTAATATTATTTGGGGAAATACTTATGCATCATATATAGATAAGATTTATTTGTTACAGAAACGAGCCGTGCGTATTATTACTTAATCTGATTATTTAGCCCCATCACGGCCACTTTTTGTTAAAACTCACGTAGTCCCAATTTTTGAATTGATTCAATTTAATACTCGCATATTTATGTTTAAATTTCAAAATCGCCTATTGCCAGAAATTCCTAATATAAACTTTGTTATTAATAGTGATATTCACTCGTATTCTACTCGTCAGAAAAATCATTTACATTTATTTAAAGTTCGTACGACAAATGCACAAAATTCTTTCTATTTAAATGGCATTAAGGAATGGAATAATTTGAGTAATGATATTAAGGAAAGTACAACTCTATCTCGATTTAAAGTACGATATACACAGTTATTATTTAATGATTTATGTAAACAAGTTTGAGCAGAGGAGGATATTTTGAATGTATGTGTGTATGTATATGTGTGAGCGTGTTTGTGTGTTTGTATCATGTTATTTTAAAGTTTTTAAACTGTATAATTTATGTGTAGTTTGTTTTTTCTTTTTAAGGCCCCACCACAAGCAATTTGCTTCTAAGGGTGTCCTTTACCGTATTATGTTTACTATGTTACTCATTTGTATGTACATGTTTCATTTTATGGTTAAATAAACTTTACTTACTTACTTACAAGTATTGCTTTATATTTCGTTGATCATTTCACTAAACGGCACGCACACAGAAA